GTGTGTGTCCGGCATTCACACGTCTGCGTGTGCGCAAGCTTGGCCTTGAATGTGTCAGCTCTATTTGAACTTGTCCTGGTGTTTGGCTTAAGCCTATAAGACTAACAAATTAGGCTCTTCTGCTGGTTTAAATGCAGCTTTGTGTGTGTGTGTGTGTGTGTGTGTGTGATACAATGAGTTGTTTTGTCTCACTGGGGCAGAGAACAAAGACCCAATGCCTCAGGTTATCTCTGCATCTTAAACATGTCAACCAGCTTCAGGTGTGTGTTTGTGTGAAATGGAAAGAGAGCACTAAGTGGAGGAAGTGGTTGTTTAAATTTGAGAATGAATGTTGTTGAAATTATGCATTGTGTGCGCGTGTGACCTGACATGCAGAATCTAATGAGCATTACTTCTTGTTGCAGCTTTTGAACTGCAAAAAGGTTGTGCTTTTATTTAGGGATGTTTTCAAGAAACCAGCTTTTTCTTCTTTCTTTCTCTTTTTTTTTTCGGAAAGAAGGGCGTGAGTAAATTCGTGGCTCTCATACTCACTGCTGATTGATGCCACACAATGAACATTCGTCTTTCACACACGTCGAGCTTTAAACATGTGCTGATTCACGCAAATGAGGGGGTTCGTGTTTCCTGGGGAAAATCCTCCACAGCACTGGAAGTGAGGCTTTCTCTGTTTGTCTAAACAACAATGGCAGCTTGCTCCTAATAATTACAGTAAGATAAAGGAACCACGAAAGACCGTGGTGTACTTTGATCAGTTTTTATTACAATATGTTGACCAGGTGTAAACAGGAGGTCTTAAACACCAGCCGAGTGACCAAAGGAATCGCCAAAAGAAAACAGCTGCTATGGGGATTACAAACCTTGGAGGTTAAGTGTGCCTCATGAACACTTTTATTTTATAAAAGAAACTGTTTATAGTGTGAATAACACTATGACATATGACATCTCTCACATACCATCTGAATGCACTTGTCCACAAGTAGACAATTTGGTGGACATTATTTGTGTATAATGTTTCATGTATAAAATGTTTCATTATATTTATATAATGAAACATTTCTTGCAGTGCTGCAGTCTCCCGGGCTCTGTCCTTATCACAAGGTAGAGTGCATGCAGTTTTTACAGATATCAGTAGCTGTTTTGTGACTTTAAAAACTTTATGAAGCATCACAGTTGGACCATATGGCACTGAGCTAAATGACCTGCAGATCAACTTCACCACGTGAGTGATTTATTTATTCAACAAAGCCCCAGTCGGGATGGACAGTGATGGCGGAGGAGACAGAAGGAGGATGAAAAGATCAGTAAGGGAGGTGAAGAGGGAGGAAAAAAATGGAAAGGACAATGAGGGAGGCAAAAAAAAAAGGAGATGATAAAAAGGTGAATAAAGAGAGGACATCAAGAGGAATGAATAGGAGGAAAGGGACCTGCGGTGAGGACAGTGCTGTGGTTCATACATCGGGCAGGTCTTCAGGTCCGTTGGCCTGCAAGTCAGTAGAGCAGAGCTGTCAGTCAGATCCCACTAAGGACTCAGAATATAAAGTGACATCAATAAGGATTACACATCACAGCCAAGCTGGATTTTTCTGGTTTTAGTGCCTCTTTATCTGGTAAATAAACCAGTTTGTCAAATTCCTTTTCCATACTAAATTATTCACAAGAGTAACAGAGACATGGAGAATGGACTGGTTGGTGTATAGTGCTTTTTAACTTAGCTCGAGTAACCACAGTGGTTTATACTACAATCCTCATTCACACACAGGTTCATGCAATCACTTTTTCCCCTTAAGCATAAATATATGAATATATAATGAATATATTGGGGAATTTTCAGTTATAGAAGTACCACTGATTTATTATGCTTATGTCTTAACCTCAATCCCTGAACATGACAGCAGACACTGTGGCGCAGTGTCTACACGCGCTGCATTTATCTGCTGTGTGGTCTTCTACAAACAGAAAACATGAAGGGAGAGGGGACAGCAGAAGGACAGGAAGGGAGGACGGGAGAGAGGGACGTGGACGCTGAATCCTTATTCACCTGATTATAGTGTTTATGACATCTGGACAGTACTTTGGCGCTAAAACGTGCATGTCTGTGCTAAGAGTATTTATGTGCCCCAGGGACACACCTGGAGTGTAGCTGTTCAGCGTTTCAACTCAGCCACTGGCACATTTCACCTGTCTCAGTTTCCCATGACTCCCATTCTTCCGCCCTCAGGGCAAATTTCCTCAGTTTCTTCAAGAGCAGCAGAGCTGAGTGCATAAACAGGATTTCAAAGTGCGCTCAAGTCTTTTTCACAGCCCGATGGAGGAACCCGCGGTGCTGGCTAATCCATTATAATGCTCATTTAGTTTGAAAGAATAGTTTGTTGAAGAACACAAAATGTTCTCATCATATAATGCTGTTTTGCCAGGTGCTGCTAATTCTCACTTTTGAGCTGAGTGGCTTTACTTTCACTCACTGATTAGGTCTAGGCCCTGAAAACTGTTTGGTTAGGTTTTGGTAAAGGTCATGGTTTCAGGAAACATCCTGAACCCTGCGAAATGACAGGTGGGGATGACTACTCCGTCTTACTTTTGCCATAATCCTGTGCATCATGCTCAAAGGACACCTTGAATGCATAAATGTGGATAAATGTGACCCACCACAGACTTTGACAAAACAACATTAGTCAGCAACATTAGTCGTGCATCAATATTCACATTTCTCAGCAAGTAAGTCAAAACTAAAGGATTCATTTAAAAATGTCACCTAACTGTGTCCCATTTTGGACAGCATTGTGTAAACTGGCAAAACATTTGCAGTCATCTATCTGAAACCAGGTTTTTCAAGTGCCTGAGAGTCTGCATCAAGCACCATAGGTGTATATAAAAGGTATATGTAGGCGTGAAGATATCACCCACTGGATTTAGACGCTGCACTCTGAAGCTTCTGTTTTTGACCACAGCGATGCTGGTTCACTGGACCATAGATGGACTACATGTCCAGGGCTGGTTAGGGTTTTTTCCCTTGTCTTTTCTTTCTCTCTCTTAACTATCCACTCTTCTCCTTTCCCCAGCCCTCAGGTGGAGTTGGGAAGACCCACCCTGCAAGTGAAGCCTGCTGCCTTTCCACTCTGCACCTGTGTGCTGTCAGTTCATTACCTTCCTATACTTAAGGACCACCTCGAGCCCACTCTGGTAATCAGGCTCTCTGATGTTTGTTGAAGCTCCCTGTGAATTCTCCTCACAAACGCCTCATTTCCCTCTGCTTCCTAATGACTCTCTCAGTCGGCTGAAGGAGCTCTCTCACCAGAAATCGTCTGCTATCCCCAGCTGGTTAGTTTCTGTGAAAGGATTAATCTAGTTAAAGCTCACCTGTCTGCCTTCCACTGCCTTACCTTCTAAAACCCCAGCCTGCAACTCTGTCCTGAACACTGGAACAAGAATTTTTTACTCCTGTTCAGTGAACTGTTACTCACCAGTGATTTCCCCGCTTCACACTCTTTCCCTGCTGTTAAATAAACTTAAAAAACAAAACAACTGTATGACACAAGAGGGTGTAGTGCTGTGCTCTCTGCTAAGCTGAAAGGCCAATCATAAACCATGCAGCTGGAATTCACAGAATCACTCCATATTAGTTATTAGTAATTAGTTCCAAGTAACAGGCTAAAATACTTGAATTGCACTCAACAAAACTGAAGCACAAACGTCTTGGAAGGTCAGTACCTTACAGTAAGCCATAATATTAGTCATATAATGGCTTACCTAATGCTTCAAATGGCACCAACAGTTCATATTTGAGAGTTCAGACATGGGCTCTCTTCCACAGCATGTCTATTGTCCTGTCTTCCTCCCCTCACCGCCCCTCCTGAGCCTGGTTCTGCCAGAGGTTTCTTCTTGTAAAAAGGGAGTTTTTCCCTCCAGTTGTCACCAAGAGCTTGCTCAAGGGGGTTATCTGACTGTTGGAACCTTTCTCTGTATGATTATTTGTATGATTGTAGGGTCTTTACCTTGGTGCTATAAAATAAAATAAAATTGAACTGAATTTAATTTATAGAGGCCAAAACTATTTTTGTACCATGCTTGTAAACTTGCTTGAAATTCGATAAAACTAGGGGGTTTAACATGGAAGTCTATAGAGAAGGACTTTTGTAGTCGGCCTCAAGTGGCCATCAGAGGAACTACAAGATTTGACATTTTAAAGTTGGATCCAATTTTGGACAACTAATCCCAATAGCTAGCTGACTGAATAATAATACATTACAAACTTGAAATTAAGTCAACACCCAGGGGTTTGAGAGACGCTGTCTTAGGTTAGGAACAGTTAAGAATCTCATAATTAGATTAAGCCAACATTGTGCACTTATTTGTTTGAAAATGTTTTGTAGTAGATACAAATTTCTGACATAGAAGAACTTGAGCTCATATTTGAATTTGAGAATATTTAGTTTTATTTCAGGCAGAAGTTTAATTGAATTGTGGAGACAGGATTGTTCTACTGGGGAACAGAAAAACAGTCATGAAAGATTTCAAGTGATTTCCAAGCTTTGTTCATGAACCCAGAGCTGAACATTTAGGCTTATGGATGCAATAAAGTGAAACTGTGAAGCTAAAATGTTCCATATGGTTCCTGTCAGATTCTTTCTTTTAAACTCCAGTTTTGAGCTGAGGTGAAAACCTGTGTCATTGCGCCTTCAACATCAAAGCTGGCAGCGCAGCAGGGCATGGCCAGACACCTGCTCTGAGCGCACAGAGCCTTTTCCAGAAAGAAGAAGAAAAAAGACCGCGCACATTCAATAACCGTGTGGGTCCTTTAAAGCCGCAGATTACAGATACGTCCTCCACGACAAGTCCCGTCGTGATCGCGGAGGCGCACATAAGGGACCCTGAGGGGCTGAAGCCAATTTAAAACCTGCAGGTTGGCAGCGGAGGATTTTGCGCAGCGCCACTGGTTCGCTCCTCTCTCTCTCTCTCTCTCTCTCTTTCTCTCTGTGAGATGAATCCGGGTGAAGGAAAGGGTTGGGACAGGGAGGAATAGCCGGAGGGAGGGATGGCTGAATAACGAGGAGAGAAACACCCACTCCGGACTGAACGAACTGTATCCGGAGAGAAGGAGTGAGAGAAAGGAAGAGGGGAAGAAAGAGTGAGAAGAAAGAAGAACCCTTTGGGAGGCAGAAGCAGGAGCGGTCTTTGGTATTCACGGGATTTCCTTTGGGGGATAAAAGGACGCTTTGAATTGATGACTGGAGAGGTATGAAAGGCGATTTCATTCATTGTGCGGGCAGCTGAGTCGGTCTCAGGTGTGCTGCTGGCGCTGGAGTATTTCGGCCAAATCGGTTAATTTGAATAGGTCTGATAGTTTGAGAGAAATCTGCCTGAGAAACTTAAATTAAATCCCTCTGGAGCACTTGAACATGATCACCGGGGACGCATTCATGCTGCGGTCATGAAATCAAACTTGCAGGCATGAGAGCAGGTGGAAAATAGACGAGTAATTTAGCGTATGTTTAAAAAAAAATCTCTTAAGCTAAGGAAAATTTCACCTGCGAAACAATCAGTTTGTATTTTACTCCTGATGTGTTAAAATTATTTACTCTTAACTGATCCACGTGTCTTTCTCGGTCTTTCTTATTATATTTAGTATTTTTCTAAAAAAATTAAAAAAAAAAAAAAAAAAATCAAGCAACAAATGGCTAGATTTTATTGAAGTTGACACCTTTTCTCTGGTCTTCATTAAGCAATTAAAGCAGTAAACCGGTTGCAAAATTTCCCCTCGAATTAAAAGCCGGATTATCGTCATCGTCGATGCAATCCGGAGACAAGGGAAACTTTGGTCCCTATTTAAAGGTTTGCTGTTAGGACCACGGGAGGACCGTTTACGCTCCCTCTGAGTCTAATCATCTTACTTTAGCAGCCCCGATGAAGTTTTTGTGTGTGTAAAATGTTGCATTGTCAGTGTGTG